GCCCCCCCAGGTCTCCGGCTCCCGTTCCTCCCCTCCAGCCCCGCCCCTGCCCCCTGGCTCTGGAAGCCCTGGGACCCCCCGAGCCCTGCCCCGACGTCTGGTTGGCAGCAGCCTCCGAGCCCCCACAGTGCCACCCCCATTACCCCCTACACCCCCTCAGCCTGCCCGGCGCCAAAGCCGGCGTTCACCAGCCTCCCCCAGCCCAGCCTCCCCAGGTCCAGCCTCCCCCAGCCCGGTCTCCCCAGGTCCAGCCTCCCCCAGCCCAGTCTCTCTGAGTACCCCTGCACAGGTGGACCTGGGGGCTATCACAGCAGAGGGTGGAACCCCTGAGGCTGTCGGTGGGGTCCCCACTACCCCAGCTATCCCCCCTCAGCCCCGCCCCAGGAGCCTTGCCTCAGAGACTAACTGAGTGGCTGGTTTCTTCCTAAGCAGCCCCCAGCATCCCCTCCCGCCACACCTGGCCCTCCCAGGACAGCTCTCACCCCTCACAAAGGGGCGTGGGCCTCCAGCCTTTGCCCACAAGTGCCTCAGTGCCCACTGGGTCGGCCCCCATGGCCAGGAGGGCTCAGGACAGTCCCCCACTTCCTGACCTTTTCCTCATCCACCCTGGGCTTGGGGAGCCCCTGCTGGACTCTCCACTCTCCGGCAGGTCCTAGGGGAGCCACCGGAAGGAAGGAGAGGCTTCCCTGCTCCTAGGGGACCGATTCTTCTCTTGCCAACATATTTTTTGTAAGGCTGGTAAATAAATTATTTTGGACAAAACTGGAGCAGCTGCCCAAATGATAGTTTTATTTTCTGTTCTTGAAATAAAGAAGCCAATTTTATAAAGGCGAAAAAAATACATATTCTTTGCCTTTCTTCCTGTCTGAAATGAGATCACAGCAGACATGCAGACATTTTTAGAGCTTTCTCTGCACTACATGCTGTGCTTTTCTGTGGATGATTTCCACTTAATCTTCTCCTAGCGCAGTAAATACCATTACCTCTTACCAGTGAGGAGACTGAGCTCAGACAGAAGTGACCTGCCAAGGTCACACAGCAGTCAGGCAGGGGCCTGGGATTAGAGCCTAGGTCTGACTTCAAAGCCTGGCTTGTCCCTCACATTCTGGACAATTCACTTTAACTTATTGGTATCCCTTTTCCTCATTTGTGAAACTTTGTAACAATTCCCTCCATGGAGGCATTGCTCTCCAGTGAAAACCAGAGCACCGCCCTTGGCCTACCACTCCCACTGTTTCCTGGACCCCTCACTCCTTCCGGGAGGAGGCTGGGAAGGCTCCCCAAGGAGCAGGGATGGATCTGTCCTCAAACCTTCCCTAAATCTGCTCTGTGCCAGGCCCTGAGCTAGCTCCCAGACTTAACTCTGTACCCAAAGAGTTCCCGAACAGACAGGCAGAAGTGACCATTAGAATCAAGTGTCTGGCCAGGCACGGTGGCTCATGCCTGTAATCCCAACACTTTGGGAGCCCCAGGCAGGAGGATCGCTTGAGCCCAGGAGTTCTAGACCAGCCTGGGCAACATAGTGAGACCCTGTCTCTACAAAACAAATTTTAAAAATTAACTGGGCATAGTGGCATGTGCCTGTAGTCTCAGCAACTAGGAAGGCTGAGGCACGAGGATCGCTTGAGCCAGGAGTTCGAGGCTTCAGTGAGCAGTGATCATGCCACTGCACTCCAGCCTGGGTGACAGTGTAAGACCCTGTCTCAAAAACAAAATCAAGTGTCATTGCACTGGGAGCCCATATTAGCCAAGTTAGGGGTGGCCATATAACCTAGACTCAGGTGTATGGGGTGGGTGGTTAAGGAAGCCTTCCTGGAGGAGGTGATTTTTAAGGGAAGTCTTTCAGGAGCTGACCTGAAGGTGAATTTTATTTATTTATTTATTTTATTATTTATTTTTTATCTTTTTTGAGACAGAGTCTGACTCTGTCGCCCAGGCTGGAGTGCAGTGTGCGATCTCAGCTCACTGCAAGCTCCGCCTCCCGGCTTCAAGCTATTCTCCTGCCTCAGTCTCCCGGGTAGCTGGGATTACAGGCGCCCACCACCATGCCCGGCTAATTTTTGTGTGTGTGTGTGTGTGTGTGTGTGTGTGTGTGTGTGTGTTTTTAGTAGAGACGGGGTTTCACCATAGCCAGGATGGCCCTGATC